GAGGGTCTTGTTTCAGCGCAGTGAATGCTTTGACATTGTGAAAGGTGCTGACAGACGCTGTAAACATACTGTATTGCATGCTTTCAGGCACTGATGCAGTCTTTGTTTCTCCCCTCACAAACACTCTCATTATGACTTGAGCTCTCATATCAGATGCATGTTTTGAGCATTTGCGGTGATTAATCCTCTTAGTTTCAGTCAGTTTAATTTGTGGTGTCTAGAAACATTTTAAAAGATATTATTTTGATTTATCTTTAAGCGTCCTTGTGTAAAGTCTATGATGGTTGCTCCAATTTAGAATGTTTGTAACATACTTTACATTATATCTCACAATCAGAGCTGCCATTCATGTGAATAGGGTACATTTTGTGATCAACTCGCTAAAATTTGTACATATCCATAATAATTTTCTCTGTATTTGATTTATTCAGCAGTTCGGTAATTATGTAAAGCTTGATTACTTATGAGCAAAAAAACGCAATCTGTTTAGATAAAATGCCATAATGCAGCAAAGGGTGGAGAAATACAAAGGAAGGTGAATAATTTTTTTCAAAGCACTATAAATACCCTGAATTTACCAGTGCAGACTGCTCGTTAGTCTATAACAACCTGACTTGGTCACACACAAATTGGACGACAAGTAAGATGGGTTCCCTTATGATTGTGATTTAGCAAATCTTTCAAAAGTCCATAGCTCACAAAGTAGAAAACTATAACCTATATAATTATTAGAGATATAATTGGTTAAGCAACCAGTTTTTTACTGATTTAATTGTCTGCAGGCTTGTGCCATGCCCATTGCATGAATCCGTTGTGCTATGCCAACCTTCAGATTTTCACACTTTTGCACTGATCTCCATGTGAACTGACTTTCCGCGGCCACCAGCATCAGGGTTCATGGCTTTGCCCTGATGTGCTGTCACGGGGCTGTGATGCCTCATCATGTAACCTCTCTGAGACACAGAGAACACCTGTCCCTGCATTCATAAGGTATGCTAATACATGTGGACACATGGTGGCCTGCTGCCTGACCTTGCTGGGACAGCAGGAGTCATTGGAGAAAATGGCCATGGAAGCACTGCGGGACACCATCTGACATATGCTCGCTCAGTATAGAGCTTAACACATGCAGAATCATCAAAGTACTTGCAAGAAAACTTCCCTAATGGCCAAGCAGACCAGAACAACAATGAGCAGTTCACTTAAAAAATAAAATAAAAATCACTTTGACACAGTGACTTGATGCTGACAATCCATTCACAAAAGTGGAAGATAAACACTTGATCTAATTAATATTTCAAACTGTAATTAGAATGTATGTTCACCGTGTGCAGTGCTGCAACAGAGCAACACGTTGCAAGCAGAACAGATTTTCTGCACTTGTCTGACTGTGTAGCTCTATTTCTTCACACACAATCTGTTTGCACATGCACAGCCAGTGGACATTTGAGCACCCACTTCCCAGACAAACACACAAGCCCCCCCTCTGCCAAAGCTAGCCATAATAACCTCGGCAAACACCAGACTTGCGTCTGTGTGCCTGTTTGTCTCAGGAATAGGGATATTATTGTTTGTCTCTGCCCTACACCTTCCAAGTGCACTTTTCAAGGTGCAGGGCTTGGTATCTCCATGGCAACAGTAAAGCCATTAGGCGCCAGAAGAGGGAGGAGAAAGTGGGCGGCAGGGGCAGAGGGGCACCAGCGACGGCATTTATGAAGACGGGAGGTCTTCTTGTTTCACAGAGACACGACGAGTACACAGACTTGGGAACACTGTGACATTTGAGTTTTTTCAACAGTGGAAACTGGAAGTGAACAGGGAGGGGATTTTTCTTGAGGTGTTCAGAGGGACTATGGAGGTGTGTTCCTGAACAACCCTGAGAAGACAAACCCACACATGGAGAGTCGTTGTGTAATCATGACCCTTGGTGGAGATTACCTCCCAGTGTTCACCTTAAAATCTGTGTTTGTGAACACACCTCCAGGTAGAGCTGGACTGTGTGTAAATGAGCACGTGCTCATGCTGGCCCAGATACGTCCACCTCTGTACTCATTCTTCTTCTCTTGTCCAGTGATTTTCTCTCCAATGACCTTTAATGCTCTGTTCACCTCCTGTATCTTGATCTAGGTTGAACGAGTATTTTCTTCTTCAATTTTTATTCTAGAACTTTGTTTGTTCTGTTTTTTTTTTCTTCAGATTTTCAGTTTGAATTCGGATCATCTTCTTCTGCCCTATTCATTCACTGGGGTTTCCAGACAGTGTTTTTCACTTCTGCAAGCTGCACATCTGAATCGTAAAGTTGAGTTAATGTTTAGGTTGAACGGTACATGGGAAAATTGGAGACAACTTTAGGAGTAGAAGAGATATTTAAAATCAGTTAAAAAGATATTTTAATCATTGTACCAGTAATATGATTCCCTATTTGTTCAGTAAAATAAGTTTTCAAAAAAACTTGCAAAAAAACACTTGATTTACAATTGTTTCATTTAGCATTAATGAAAATTTTTTATCTAATTTTCATTGTTGAAGACATACCAAATGGAATGCAGAAAAACTGTTGTTTAATGAATCTTGCATCACAGTAAAGAAGCCACAAGTTAAGCTTTGGAAATTGGCTGATATGATGAAAACATCATAACTCACATGAAAAGAGACGTACTAATACCCCTCTGCCACAGCTGAATGCACGAATGTCTTGACATCCGAACCAGACGCCCTACTCAAATATGTTAATGGCACTAGTTTCAACAAAGGAAATTTATAATTTATACTCATACGCACAAAGACAATATTTTGTATAAAAGAAAAGAGTTAATACTGTTAAAATGATGCTATATTGTTGCAAGTTAGTGTGATTTCCTATAACAGTTTTACATTTTAAAATGTACAGGATTAAATTCAAATCAGGTGTAAGAAATAAGAGAATTACGTCACAATTTCCCTTTAAAGTTTTGTTGATATTCCAATCAAGACTAACGAATAGCTTTCTGTTAAATATTTATCAACAGTCAGAATTGATTTTGATTCAATCCTCTTACCTGCATACACGTGATAAAGCACATATGTATTCTTGAGTTCATCAAACCCAAGTTCCATGGTCATAAGAAAATCCTGGTTAGTCACTTGTGACACCACAATATAGGAGCCAATATGCATGAACAGAATGCCATCTGTGGGGATCAGAAATACATCAAACCTTTGGGTATCCAGCTCCCATCACAACAAAATCACATGACTAAAAAAGGAATGTGCCAAATCATCCCTAATGACCACAAGAAGCACAACAGGCTTGTCTTGAATGAGATATTTCCAGGCGTTTGGTGGTCTTATTTTGAAATGCATATATTTATTTTGAAATAAACAAAACCGGAAGTTTTGCCGTTCAATCCGTGAACTTCACAGTCTCACGTCAGAAACACTTGTGGCATGTAACTTTGAACCTTTTTTTCACAAAATCTCTTTGTATTTTCACCTATTTTTTGCTGATTGATGAAATGATACAACTTTTTTTCCTCTCGCTTAATTATAATACATTCAATTATCAGTTCGTTTTTCCACATCTGTAAGACTGTGGATCCATTTTTGACTAAAAGCATCAGCATAAACGTGTATCCCCATAAACAGGTATGGTTAAGGATGTAGTACACTTCCAACATATCCTGAACCCTTAAAGACATCCGTAAGGACACATAACATACATTTACTTAGTTTTGATTGCTGTAAAAACCTTGGCATGAAATCTATTGAGAAAATGAAATATTGCTGCTGTGTTGAAGTACTTATGTAGCGTCCACGGTGTAGGTTACAACCAACCCTCACCCCTCACCCCTCACCCCTGTCAAATAGAAACTCTGATGGTAGTTTGGTAGCACTTTATTATTTTCTACACAATTGACTCCACAACGTAGCGACACCAGGGCCTCACCACAGAAAAGTTGCAGTGGGCTCAGGCCTTCTGTGTTGAGTTTGCATGTTCAGGGTGTTTGGTCCTCAGATGGCAAATGGAATATGCTCCTGCCCCAGTGACTGAATATATGAATATATATTCAGACTGAGTATATGAGCACGTAGTCCGATTTATCAGATCAATTACAGTTTTTCGTTTTTCCTTTGTCGGAAATGCTGACTGTAATACTCAGATGCTATTTAAAGCCAATCCACATAAGCCTACAGCTACTTAGATTGATCTTGACACCATCTTGATGTGTTCGATTGATCAATAATAGAACATTTTGTACAAACCTAACTGGCTTTGCACGCAGGCCTGTGAGCTGCCCACGTTTTAGTGCACATCACTATTTACAGCAGTTTATTTAAGATGCAGTTTATGGATGTAAATGATGTGCAAAACGAGAGCAATGCAGGTTGGGCATAGTATGGCTACTTTTTTTTTTTTATCCTGCCTGTGAATTGGACCCTTGGGTCCTGCAAAAACTGAGTGCGCTCTCAGCGCTGATCCGTGCGGGGCGCTGCTGCTCACCCAAAGCCCGGACGCTCCACGGAATATTCAAAGTTTATGAAAGGTGCTCGCAGCCGAGCAGCGGCCGGTGGAGCCGAGACGAACAGTTGTCATGATCCTAAAAAAAAAAAGAAAAAAAGAACCTAAGTTGTAAAGAGGACTTTCAGGTGGGGGCTCACATTTGACGTGTGAGGAAGCGGCTCTCCTGTCCGTGAGCGGGCCAGCGCTCCCCGGAACATCCTCCCATCAGTGGGTGGGTGCCCGGTGCCCGGTGCGTGCGTGCGTGCGTAAAAGCGCGTGCGGCGTTGGAGTATCAGGGTAAAGAGAGTGTGTGTGTGTGGGGGGAGGATGGGGAGGGGGGTGCACGCCCAGTGTGTGAGAGTGGAGTTGTTGAGAGAGGGAGAGAGACGCGGAGCGGAAAGAAAGGAAGAGTTGAGTGAGAGAGGACGAGAGAGTGAGAGAGCTTGACGGGAGAGGAGGAGAGAGAGAGAGAGAGAGGGGAGGAGAGCTCCGTCTCTGCCGGGTGCACTTGGCAGTCTAGTTGCGGGCTGCTGTGCTGTTGCTGTCGTGGCGTGGCTGGTCGCGCCGGGCGGGGGAACTTCACCACACTGGAGCCCGGAGTCCCACTCTCTCACCTGCGCAGTTCGGAGCTGCCATGGGTCTCTCGCCGGGATTTACTGTCCTAATGGTTCTGCCGGCCTTCCTGCTGCACACCAGCGGCCTTTACATCGCCAGTAGCGTTGGTGAGTGCCGTATACGGCCAAGCGTGCTCTGTGTTTATACTCCGTATCTGATCATCTCTCATCAGCGCTCCCTGGAAGTGTGGGGCTCCTCTGGAGCGCCACTGTCCGGTCTCCCTCTCTCTGCGTGCGTTTGGCTGTTGACCATGCTTGTTCTGTTCTTTGCAAATAACACGATTTTGCAACTTCTAAGTGTCCTGCTGTGGCGCTTGCACTTTCGAGGGGTCCCTCGGCGGTGCAGGCGGGGTTGTGGTTCGCTTCTCCTGATGCGGGGGATTATTTTATCTGAGGTGTGAAGGGGGCATCAGACTGTCGGATTTCTTTTGCGAGGAAGTAGCCTGACGTTATCTTATTTGGCCACTGTCGCATCTATCGATCTGTCACAGGACGCTGGAGTCGGATGTCAACGTATTGATCACACTAATATCAAATCTGAACTTCGAGAAAGAGAGCGTTGATTTTCACAATCAGCAAACTTTAGAAATTGAATACCATGAGTGGACTCTCGAATAGTGCCGATTTGATGGTACTTGTGACAGAATAACTGTCTCTTACTCTGACACTGGAAAATGGCCTTGGCTCGCGGTGTGCGTTAGGGGGCTCGTGGGCTCCGGGATCATCTCTCAGGTCGTCCCCGGAACGCACCTGAATTGTCACTGTCACGAGTAAGCGGAACATATTTCGATCACAGAAAAATGTCAGGAGCATGAGCTCTGCACGTGTGCCACTTAAAAACGCGCACTCTCTGGATAAATCAATATCATGAAGTGGATGCTGGCAAAATGAAATCCAGCGTGAAACATGAGAGGAAATGTCCATTTGAATTAAAGCAACACTTTTGCTTTTGGAACGTTCAGCCGGTGTAGAGTTGAAAGAAAACCTTTCTTTTCTCGGATCGTGCATATTGATTGTGATAAAATAAGAGGAAGAAGGGGGAAAAAAACAGCATGAGAAAGCTGCAATTAGCACCTTGATCTTGGAGCGGCTTCCCTGTTGACAGTGGAAGGGCACGGGAGGTGTCGGGGCGCAGTGCTGAGGCTGCCGTTTCCAAACGCACGGACCAGCTCCAGGGTCGCCTCTGGGTTCATGGGTGGGGCTATATGTGTGCGCGCGCGTGCGCGTGCGGACAGGTTACTTCTATTGTTTAACTTAATGTTGGGGTTTATTTTTGACGCAGTGTGGAGTGTGAGATGATAATCCCATGGCTCACTTTGGCATTTTTAAAACCATTGTTTTGTTTTGTTTTTTTACCTCTTTTTCCATCCTCCTGCATTCCCTCTGTTTATCCCTCATTCCTCCCCATGACGTCTCCTCCCCTGCATTCTGTGTTTTTTTTTTCTTCTTATCTGTAACTTGTCATCCTCATCTTCCCTTTGCACATCTTCACATCTGTCTCACATCATTGTTTTTGACTCTCTTTATGTCCTCTTTCCACATCTTCCCGCCCAACGCAACTGTCCTCTTCCTAGACTCCCTGCAGCATGTCCTGGGGGAGTATGGACTGGTTAGGCCAATCAGTGTGGATGCAGAGGGCCGCTTTCTGTCACACGCCATCTCAGCCGGCCGCGTGGCAGGAGGGCAGTCCCGTAGGCGCCGGAGGAGGGAGGTAGGAGAAGGCAACAACGGGTGGGAAGGACCCGGAGCCGAGGAGGACCAGGACCACGCCACACGCCAGGAAAGGCTTTACTACAACGTCACCGTCTTCGGCCGGGAGTTCCACCTGCGCCTGCACCAAAACACCAGGCTCGTGGCTCCCGGAGCCAAGATGGAGTGGCACGACGACGGCGACAGCATCCGGTACTCGGAGCCCCTGCACGACGAGTGCCTGTATGTGGGGGACGTGACCGACACGCCAGGGGCCACCGTGGCCATCAGCAACTGCGACGGCCTGGTAAGCGCACATCCCCAGTTATTCCTCCTCCAGCGCTCACAGAGCTCACTAAAGAAGCGTCCGAGGACAGGATGACACGAGCGGAAAGTGCTCTCTCTGTTTGGCCCCTAAGCTCAGAGTTTTCTGAGGGGCTGACCTCATGGTGTGCTCCCCTCCCTGTTGTCCTCTACACCGGCTACAGCACTGGGCCAGCCACAAAACGCCTGAGTCATGTTTTCTCCCCCCCCTGTCCTGTGTCATTTTTAGTTTACTCTCGTGAAATGAGAGGGGGAGGGGGATATTAAAGGAATACCTTGATTTTTCTTTGATAACCCTAAAGTGCCATATCTCAGAATCTTTCAAGCATACCAGACCATAACACTCAAAGTGAAACTACCCTCATTAAATATTTTGGTTGCACAACAGTTGCTCAAAAAGCCTGAATTGGGAAAGCTTTTAATAGATCTGGTGATGGATGGAAGAAATGGAAAGAGATGGGAAACAGTTGGTGAATGACTGTCAGTAAGAGAGCGAAAGTGAGATGTAGACAGTGTGAAAAACTGTGTGCAAGAACCGAGATGAGAGGATGCAGAGAGACCGAGACCGGGGCGTGAGGATGCATGGGAGCCTCAGGGCAGAGGGAAGATAGGCAAGTAAATACGAGGAAATATGCCGGAAAAGCAGATATTCAAGGAATGTTGAGACCGGGGGAGGAGTTCCCCTCATTAGAAAGAGTGTTCATTAGTCAACCACATCAGCCCACCACTGGAGTTGAGCAGCAGCAACTGGATCCGTTTAGGTCTGAGGACACGAGGGACTGAGCAAGCAGCTGAGAGAGCAGGCAAGGAGCCAGGACAGCACAGGCCTGACATCCCCATTTAGCTTGATTCCAGCCAGCGGCAACTCACTGCTTTTGCCTCTTGCGTCGAACTGTCGTTTCAGGGCTTTGAGGCCATCTCTAATGGAGGTTACTGCGGAGGTATAGTTGTAACAGATCACAGATGAGTCAGTACCAATCAGTGGTCGTTGACTTCGCTCTTGCTCCAGATTTAGAGCGAGCATTTTCACATGCTTTAGCTTGTTACACATCAAATAACGGCGACTTATTGTCACTTTAAGAAACATGGGACGAAATCCCGACCTCACATAAAACGTAGCCTGTGTGTTGTCAACCAAAACTTAGATTGCGGTGCAGCATCTTCATTAGTTTGATTAACACTAATTCAGATACTCTTTCACATGTTCAGGTCAACAGGGATCATTTTATCACATGGAAAACTGCACAATGTTATCTTACATGCCTCAATATGTACACAGGGGGTGCACATTGCAGTTTTAAGTGCAGTTTATGTAAAAAACATAAAGTTTAGGAGAAATGTAAACAAATCTGGTTATGACTTTCCAGACGGATGAAACCTTTGGGCATTTTATCTACAGCAGTTCTGCTAGAAGCTGCTATTTGTAACAACTCACTCAAGACACAAATGAAGAGTTTATGGCCTGTTACCTAATTTACCGAATTTGTAAGGCCCCAAGTTGTTTAAGGCTTAATTTAAGGAGTACCAATATTGAAGAAGGAAAGTTGTGAGACTGCTTTTTTTTTTTTAAATAGCCATGAATCTTACATGCTATTCTAAAGGATCCACACACTAAATTTTGGGCAAAATTGCATAAAAGAGGATTGTTTGCTTCCGAATCCTGAACGAGGTGTAATCTTTTAAGTGAAAAAGAGTGGATATAAAATGACATACCTACAATGATATAAAATGCATTAAATAAACCATGAATAAGTAAGGTACATAGTATCCCATGAAAACAAATATAGATAACTATATCAAGGAAAGAATATGATTTAATAAAATAAAGTTATAACCCCATTTAGTGGTCACATTATTCTTGTCTACTTATGTTTATTTGCACCAATCCGCCCTTGAATATCTCATGTCATCAGTAATCAGTTCTAACAACCTCTTCAGCCCTGCCAAGAAATGCAGCCAAGTGCTGCTCAAATCTGTCATTCTAAACTCAAGCACAGCCAAGACGGACCAACCAGGCCATGAAACACTTCAATGACCATGACACCTCTTTAGAGTTTCCCCTGCTCTGTTTTACTGGCTGTGGTACAGAGTGTGGTGAGAACAAGAAGGGAGGCAGCCAATAGAGGGCCAGATAAACTTCAAACCTTTATCAATTATGATAGATGTAGTAATGGAAATCATAAAGAACCTGCTGTGATTGGACAGTTAGTTCTCTGCATGGCTAATTGGAGGCCACAGACAGCACAGTGTGCAAACTGAGCAGTGGGACATTTTTTCCTTCAGTTTATGAAATTGCTGCTGTGACTGTTTTGGTGTGTTTTTAATGTGTAAAGAATAGGATGCAACTCAAGCCAATTGAAAACTCTTTAGCATGTTCATTTTGTTTCTGTCAGTGTGTGTGATGTTGTTCTGAAGTTTTACAGGAGGATTGAATTATTGTTTTCTACTTTAGAAATATAATTTTCCTGTTTTTACATTATTAAAGAATAGAGAACCATGGAAGCCACAGTCGGAGAGGCACATGTGTAAATAAAGATATGGATGTTGGGTTGATTCCCTTTTGCTGGCTTTGTACACAGGGTGTAAGAATATATGATATTTTCTTCTTTCTTTTTTTTTAATTAAAAGACAATATAGTACAAATAGAATGAAAGCATAATAAAATATTAAAAGTTTATTGGAAATTCCATAGATAAAAAAGTTTAATTACTCTTTCTTGTAAGTGTAGATTTTATCTGATCAATGGAGGAAATTAACAAAAGGGTAATCTGTTGAATACAACCATTTCAGAAAAGCCTTTCTTCACTGGTTAAGCGTTTAAGTGTTTGTGTGTCATGTAAGAAGTCTAATTTTAGAGGATGGACTTTATTGGGATGAAGTAAAAAAATTGGCCTATCCAACATTAAGATATGTGCATCTATTTTAGCTGTAAGCGTGCTAACAAGGCTGTGCTGCTGCAAACAGTTATTCAGAAGAAAGTAAGATCTGGGTGGAGAAACCGCCCTAAAATCAGGATCTCATTTCCTGAACCCCATCTCCATATGTTTGTGTGTGTGTGAAAGGGCCTCTGCCCATACTCAGAGGCTTTTCCCTCAGTATTTGTTCAGAGAGGGATGTCGAGTCTGTTGACTGTGTTGGCTGGATTTTGCACACATGTGGGTGTGAGGTCAGGTGCGTTCATGCGTGTGTGTCTTTTTGGCATTGCATGGGGAATTTTAAGTGTCAACGTCGTCTTTTCAGAGGACACAAGGACACAGTGATGATGGGTCAAAGATTACAACATAATTGCTATTTGTCTTTCAAATATAGATAATTAAGTTTTTATGAAATGTTGAAGTTCAGACTGGTAAACAGTACACCGTGTGCTGGCACCAATGCATTAATTTTCCCTTTGAAAACGTGTTCATTTTCATCAGAAAAATCATGTCCACTTGTCTGAAGCTTGTTTTGTTTTGCTGAAGGTCAGTGCTTCTGCTCCTGGTTGGCCCCATTTATTCGAGCATGTCGGTAGAACATGTTCTCAGAAGCTATCTGTTTAGTTTTTCCCTCATGCTGTTGGGATTTGACAAGGTGGAGCATCCTTCTCCTTGAATTTGCCAAAGCACGAACACAAAGAGACATTTTGTTGAGATTGTTGAGCATTATACTGTCAGTGACCGATTCTTACCTGAAATGCTCATTTAGAACGGTCAGTCAGAAAAATGCAGTGTGGATGGACTAAAGACTAGGAATCTCAAGTGCCCACATATTTTGTGAACGATTTACAGATTTTTAATACTTTTACACCAAGTGTATTATTGACAAAATTATGAAGTCAAAACTATGAGACTAAAAATGTCATAACCAACAATCCTGAAAAGAAAAAATGGCTAACCTTGACTACTTAGTATAATTAAATGATTTCACTTATTGTGGATGACACACGCAAGTTGTGGAATTAGCTGGCATACATTCTCTCAATGTGGGGCCTCTCTTCCTGAGACCTATCTCTTGTGTGAGCCTTTTTCTTCCAGATGTGCCCCAGCAACTAAAGTAATCAGCAGGTCCTGAATAATGCTGTGGCAGGTACAGGTTACCGTGGGAACAAGGGAGGGGAGGGGGGGGTTATACAGATGATTCCAGCAGGTGTGAACACAGGCTAGGGATCCACCAGGAGGAGAAATGATGATCGTGTTTAACAGAGGAAGTGTTTCACTTGTCATTTTGGGTTTAACTCCAGCGATCCAGGTGGAAGCACACCTGGAAAACAACCCGCTGCTGTGCTGTACGTCTCATTCATGTGTCGTAAACTCAGAGCCTGTGTGCATGCAATGCAGAGGCGGGTTGCGGGAAAAAGCAAAGTTTCTCCAGACCATCTTTACCTCAATGTATAACAAAAACCAGAGCATGCATCTGCCTAATTGTCCCCACCCTTTGCCTGCTTCTCTCAGTCTTTGTTTCTTGGCCACCAGCGGTAGCAACGCGCAGGAGAGCTCTCCTAATGACGGCATTAAAAGAGTCAGGGAAATGACAGAGAAGGTGAAAGACAAAGAATGTGGCAGACAGCTTTTTTCTTTCCTGACACCCACAGATTCATCGCTCCGGCAAAAAAAAAAGAAAGAGGCAGCGAGAAACAGCGTTCTTTCGTTTTTAGCAACAGCTCTGCTCCTAAGCATGCCTCAGACAAGTGGTGTTGAGGGTTAAGGGTAGTGCCCGCTGTCTTTGCAGAAACATTTTAAAACCTTTATAAAAGCTATTTGAAATGCGCTGCTGTCAATAATGTCATTGAGTAATTTGCCCTGATTTTAAACTATTCCGATTTCTCTAATAAGGGGAACCCCAAGAAAGCAGAAGCAAACAAAACTAGTGGTCATTATTATCAATAATGAAATATCATAATGGTTGTTATATGATTACATCTGTCTCTCACGTACAGCTGTGTTTTAAGGCCTAAAAGGAAAGATTTTTACAAATCAATTTTCCTTTATTGATATTTTTAAAGTAAAATAGAAAATATTTTAATATTGTGATGATTAGACTAATCGATTAAATGGTTAAATTGTTAATCAAAGCGAAATA